AAGACATTATTAGTATATATATATATATATATATATATATCATTATCATTATTAAGCCACCTTGCAAATAAGCCGAAAACGAACTCAGCAAAGTTCATCTATTTCCACTGAGTAAGGGACGTGGTCTGTTGCTAATTTTTGAACAAATTAGTAGTCTTACTTGGTAAGTACATCAAATGCACTCTATTTGTGCAGCAGTCATGTTTCAAGATGACATCTGAAAACTTTTTGAAATGAAGAGCGGCGAAGAAGTCATGCTGATTGTCAATCAAAAAAGAGAGATGTAAATAAATCATTCACATCATTTACAAATGTATTACTGTACCTATAAAAGGTTGGAAGAGAATTTATTTCAGATTTTGCAATTTCGTAATTTGAGGCAGAATGGAATTTTATAAAGCTAGATATCGCGAACGGAAATGACTGCAGCCTTCTCTCTTTATCCCTTTACAGTGGAATCGCAAGTTCACTCCGCGTGCGAACTTTACTTGGTTGAAGTTTGGCTCTTTAGCCGCAGCAGGTTGTAAGTGTGGTAGGTGTAAGAGAAGGAAGGGAGACGAAGTTGGCGTGGGAGATGTAAAGTCAAGTTGGGATTCGTAACTGTGGGGGTTGAGTATGACGTGGTTCCATGAGTATCGTGGGTTGCGGGATTTTAAGTCAATTAGGGTGACCTGGAAAGTGACCTGGAGCAGGAGCGATATAAGTAATTTCTTTTGACCTTAAGTAAATCAGTTAGAGTGGCCTGAAACAGGAATTCGATACAATTCATATCGAAATTTTGATTCATATCGAATTATTTGCTAGTGGGATACTTAGTATGCTGTATAGGGAAGTATTGCATTTTGATAACATTGCTGAAGAGTAATTAGTGAAAGAAAAGGTAGAAATTTGTTATTCAAGAGCTGTAGTTCTTTTAGAAAGATTTTAATAATATCACTCTGATATAGATGTAATGGAAAAACAGACGTGATTTGGATCTCTTTAATACTCAGCAGTTTAGAGAGTTATCTCGAACTATTGAAATAACCTGAAGGTTTCGCATAATTTGAATATGCATCTGTAGATGAGCTAGTTGAAATATACACATATCTCTGTCGTGCTTTTTCAGTTAACGAATACTTTCGATAATTACGTTGCATCTGTTATAAAAAATGCCGTTAGCACGAGATTTATTGTATCCAGATCCTCAAAAGGTAAAATTGCTATCCCGTATTTTCGTCCAACGTAAGCTTTGGTTTCTTGATGCCATGATGTAGGAATTTTGGATGCATCAAGTTCAAAACTAATTTGGTCACTCCGTTAAGGCTGTGTGAGTTATGTGTGTCTAATATTCAAGCATGTGGTGCGTGTTTGTTTGAGTTTGCATTGCTTTACAAATTTCGTTGTCAGATGTAATCATTTTTTGATTCGAATTGCAAGTATTTTACTTGTTCTTTATATCCTTTTAATGCCTAAATTATATTCAGCGAAATGCATTTTTGTTTTAAGGAACGAGAACGATGTAAGTTGAAGAGGTTAGTACAGCAACCGAATTCTTTCTTCATGGATGTAAAATGCCCAGGATGTTACAAAATTACAACAGTATTCAGTCATGCTCAATCCGTGGTAGTTTGCGTTGGATGTAATACGGTACTTTGCCAGCCAACTGGTGGAAAAGCCCATCTAACAGAAGGATGTTCATTTCGGAAAAAGCAGCATTAAACATAGAAATTATTTCTCTTGTTTTACATTGGAAATACTATTTAGTCTAACTTTTGAGTTGTTATTCTTTACATCGTTAAGTTGTTTGACAATGATTAGGCAGTGTGAATTGCTGACCACTAAAGTCTCATCATTAGAATGGATTTTGTCCGCGGGAGGAGTTGAGTTCTGGTATAAAATGGTGCAGGTTCATGAATTTTAAAAATGAAGTTCAAATTTTAGTAAGCACAACGCATTTCTTTGCAATCAGTGGTATTATAGTTCTATCTGCATGATTAATTTCTTGGTGTATTTTGTTAACATGAAAATAAACGCCGTTGAAGATTGATGTTTGTGCGTTGCCACTTCCAATTGCCTAGACAAACAAATACTTTGGAAGATATCTTCCATTACCGAAAAATCCAGGAAGAACCATGAATGGTATGATCGTTGGACATACAGTTGTACAGGGAATCACAGTGATACTATATGAGCATAACACTATTTACACATAACCTAAAGATAGTCTGTAATGTCACCTACTGCACTGTCTTTCACGATAATGTAGTCATCCAAGGAAGTTGTCTAATCTGATCGATTAAACATACAAATGCTTGTTTCAACTCTCCCGGTACAGTTGACCGAAGATATGTTATGGTACGCTGGTGCAGTCAAGATGTTACTGTTTGCACGCAGAACAGAGTATCGGTTTGTGGCGGAAATTTTACGGCAAGGTCGAGGAATTTATTGCATCTATAATTTCAGATATCAAGTTATTTCGTATTGTAAAGGTGTGTTGAAACTCAAAATTGCACTGGTCACGATGACAAAAGATGCTAACAGAAAGTCAATCTCAAAGGACATGTGAGGTTAATTACTTGCAGGAAGATCAGAGTAACAGAACTTTTGAAATGTTCTTTAAATAGTTGCATTGAAAAAGATTTTTTTTTTATACCCTTATGGAAATGGCTGCGTTTGGGTTTTGTTGTAGCCTAAGCGGCAACTGCTGTGGTATTGGATTTTGTGGATTTGCTGAATTTCGTTCCTGGGTATCACCAGAACTTTTCAATTTCAAGTATTTTTTGGAATTTATAAATGTTGGCGAGGATGACAGCGAAAGTGATGGTGGCATATTGCTTTCATATTCATAACTCCAACTCATGGCGATTGCATCTGTCCGAGGACTTTGTTGCTTTTCTTCCATTACTCTTTTTGGGAATGCAATATCGGTTTTAATATTATACAACGTTTTGGCAAGAGGGTCGTTTTCATCAATGAATTTTGGATCCTAAAAATTCGTCTACGTTTTATTTACCATGAAGATGTTATAAGAATTTGAAATGATGAAACTTCAAATTTAATCGAAAAAAAAAGATGTATATAGCCAATGTCCGCCGATTTTTTCATTCTTATTTAGTTATCTTTTTTTCTCTCTCTCTCTCTCTTTTCCTTCTTTTACCTTCTATTCTATTGATAGCGTAAAATTACCTTCGGTTTTCTGTGATGTTTGCAGCAAACAAATGTACAAACTACCAACGACATTAGCAACATGGATGCATTATGGAAAAGCATTTCAACGAGTTCATCGTACCGACTGATTGTCATCTTTTGGAAATTATAGAAATGACACCATATTCATCCCTCCAAATAATTTATACATCGCACCAAATAAGCATAATTACTGAAATTCCTTTTACATTTTATTTACCCATTTTATCAAAATTATTAAAAAAAAATTCGTATAATTGATAATTGGACCACCATACAGCATAGCTTGTTATTGGTACCAGTATATATTATAGCTTATATCAATACATATATTAGAGCTTGTTATTGCTACTAATATATATACATATGGTAGGGTAGAAATGTCAGATAAGGAGAAATTTGGTTGATAGCTAACCATTCGAATCATCCAAAACCTTTCAATGGTAATTTTTGCTCATTCATTTAATGTGGATACTACCAAAGATGATCTCATCTTTTAGTGAGTGAACAAAAAATTAGCATATTATTATTCATAAATTCATGAATGCTTCGACAAAACTTATTTTCTCAAACGTTTTTTTTGGATCAAGGCAGTGAATCATATTTTGGATCATCTGATGACATACAATGAATGATATTCTGGATCAACTGATGACATACAATGAATGATATTCTGGATCATCTAATGATATACAATGAATCACAGCTGATGAGATAGAATGAATCACGTTCTGGATCAGCTGATATCATAAATCGCATTGGTTTTTGTGTTTTACGTTAGCTTTCTGTTTTCCCTTAATTTTCATTCAACATTTTTTGAAATTTTAGTGGAATTACTGTTTAAATTGTTTAAATTTACCTTCACATATCGTCTACCGTTTCATTTCAATAACATATATGTTTTATATAACTTCCAATTTCCTTTTTATTGATGTTATTATTTATAAATTTCAACAAGAATATTTGTTTCAAATTCCTCCACCAACTTTTCGTTTTTTGTTTTGAAACTGGATGATAATAAATGATAACATTTACGACAAAAAGAAGTTTGTGATAGAGGAGAATTTCAACAGACAAAAATCTTAACATATCTTCTATAGCATCGCCACTTTCTAAAAGGATAAATTAATAAATGATCAAACTAACCCAGTGCCAACTTTTTTTTCTTCTTTTATATAAACGAAGAATGAATCATCTATTTTCCTCATATTTAATTTATTTTAAAAGTTTTTTTTCATAATTTCTCTTTTCATTATAATCTACTTATCGTAATATCATCATAAGAAGTTGCTTGTCTTATCACATACTTCATTGAAATAATACCTGTTATTTGTAGGAAGTGGTAGTGTTACATTAATGTTTACAGATAATATATGGGTGAAGTTTAATTGGGAAAAATTTGAAACTAAAGCTTAGAAATATGATACTATGGTAAGATTGAAACTCTAAGCAGTCACTCTACCCTCATTATCAAACCATCCTTCAACAATCGTCTCAATTATTGTTTATCAAATGTATTGTAATGTATGTATGAAAAATTAAAATCAAGTTTTTTTTTTTCATGTGAATTACATTCAAACACTCACTTCATATCTATAATGAATAATTGATCTGAACAGGAAATGAATGGAATGGCAATTTTGATTAAATCTCAAATTCATTCCGATCCTTTCCGATACAATTCGATCTGTCAGTCCATGATGCAAGTACTTTTTTATTTTTGATGGGAAGTTTTTGCCAAAAAAAGCGAGTGAAAGGAAAAAGAAAAAAGAAATTGCGTATATAGCACAATAAAATGTAACGTAAAGTATCTTCTAATTACATCAACTATTAGAATTTAAATATTAAAACTGGGGACTAAATGCAAAGTTGGAATTGAAATTTAAAAATTTCATTCAAATTGATTTTGTTGAAGATAAGAACACAACGTTTATGGCACTTCCAATTTGAGATATTTGCTACCAATAAATGATCATTTCGATCTTCTTTTCCAGTATTCAAAGAATTGCCAGAGTTATCGGCTAACGTGGATTAAAGAAAGCCTTGTGAAAGTCTATTCAAGAAGTATAAAATGCATGGTGATACGTGGTGTACAGAGAGTTGGATGAAAAATGCATGCCGACAAGATCATGATAATGGTGAGTTTTCATTAAAACGGACAATATGGTGTTTCCCTGTTGATGATCTGTTACTTCGTTCCACCATCTCGTCCATACCGGTTCTACGCGGCATATATACTCACTCTATAAAAGACCCCTGAAGAAGATATGCAGTAATTGTGCGTGTAACAACAAAACATGGCGAACAAGTCATCACTACGTTCGGTTGCCTTTGCGGCTGTTGTATTTTCGACGGTAGCCGTAACAGCTTGTATTTTCACGTTTCCTATGGTTTTCTATTACGTTCAAACATTACAAGCAACCGTGCAGGTAATTGTAAGCTTAAAAAATTGCCTAGATTTCCTTTGCTGCTATTATTCATTAATTTTGCTTTGCTGGTTATTTTCATCCACTTTCTAAATTCATTACCTTGCTGCATAATTTGAAATTTAATACTCAAAAAGTGGTTCAAAGACTTTGTAACTTAACTACTACTATTGGGCATACTTCCCATGCTTTAAAAAAATTAAAAAAATGAAATAACGGTTACCAAAAATTATTCTCTACTTGAAAAAAAAGAAAAAAATTATTCTCTAATTCCGTTTTACGTCACCTACGCCAAAAGCTAGAAAAAATTTTGCATATAAAATTGGGCAGATTTAGTAGTAATATTTCTGTACAAAACAAAAGATATTCAAATATCTTTGAAGGGAAAGCGAGAATACAATTCTCGGAAATTAAATCATGAAATTGACGACAGTAACATTAAGCTTGAAGCTCGTCAAATAATAGGTGAGGTGAAAGAAGACATACAAGAAGCTATTTCTGTCATTTTCTGAATCTTGCAAGAAATTAAAAATAAAGATGAAAAGTGCGGATAAACATGCGGAAAAAATGAGACGGCCAAATATAGTTTTTGCCGAATATTACATAAAAAAGTGTTTCGTATCCGAACCAGTTTTCAATTCTTATTCAATATAATGGTGAGAAATGAAAAATGAGGGCAAGAAGAAATCCATAGTGGGTGGAAAGCATTGAAGAATCAGAATCCGGTTTTGGATCTTTCCGAAAAAAGCTATTTTAATTAATGAATTCACTTAAAAAAAGAAAAATAGTAAAACTTCAATGAAAAAAAAATCAATCTGATTATTCCATTCCATTAGATGCGTAAGAGCATATAAATTTAATTTTTTAGGTTTTAACAAGTTTCGAAACTTTAAAAATTTCAAAATTTCATATAACTTATTAAACTCCTGAAGTTCGTCTTTCAGAGTGAAGTAGAGTATTGTAAGTCACGTTCACGTGATATGTGGAGAGAGATGGTGGAGATGGGGCCAGAAAGGGATAGTGAACCATTTGATATACTGGTTCGTGCTACCCGTCAAACTGAAGCTCAGTGCTGCACATGTCAACAAGGACCGCCTGGACCAGATGGTCCACCAGGCACGCCGGGAAGAGATGGCACACCAGGCGAAGGACCTGGAGCGCCTGGACCACCAGGTCCAGATGCCGACCTCCATGATCGGTTGCTTCCAGTACCTCCGCAATGTCCATGTCAGGCTGCACCTGGACCTGCTGGACCGCCTGGATCACCCGGACCTGATGGACAACCTGGAGGTCCTGGACCAAGTAAGTCTCACTTTCGATGCTTATTAAGCTATACACTTCTAGATCTGCAGAAATTTCCGTATACACATATACTTTTTCAGGCGGTGATGATGGAGCACCAGGTCCTCAAGGACCACCAGGATCACCAGGTGCTCCTGGTCAAAGTGGACAGCCCGGACAACGTGGACCACCAGGTGAACCTGGTCAACTCATTCCGGGAGAACGGCCACCACCAGGACCTCCAGGACAACCAGGACGACCAGGCTCACCAGGGCAACCTGGTCGACCTGGACCATCAGGCAGAGACGGTGAGGCAGGAGGACTCGGAGGCCCAGGAGAACCAGGACCACGCGGTAAGTCTGATGGTGGTTATATATGAATTTATTTTCATAAATTGTTTCACCTAGATGCTTACCGAATTTGAAAACTGAACAAGGAATCTGAAACTTAAATTCAGAATTCATTTATTTGAACATGTTACTATTAAGACAAAATTACAGGTCCACCAGGTCCAACTGGACAACCAGGAGCACCAGGTGAACCAGGTCAACCAGGTGCACCGGGAAGCTGTGATCATTGTCCACCAGCGCGTCTTGCTCCGGGTTATTAAACGCTGGAACATAACACAGCACTTTGTCTCTCAGTGTCTCCTCAATTTCTCTTATAAAATCACTGTAGCTTGTAATGTTATACATTACATAAGTGTTTTGGTCTGACCCAATCGTCAAATAACTCAGCAATTTTAAAATCTTTCGGAAGTAATATCTCCGGTGCTTTTTTTTACTACCATTCCTTTTGACAAAAAAAGAGATAATCAAGTACTGATAAAGACATGAGCATCCCAAACTTGAACTTTACATACATATACAAACCACTTTTGTGAAACTTCGTGAATTTAATCATGTTGTGATATTTGGGAAATAGATTAATATATCTCTTGAATTCTATGAATCTTCAAACGATTGAATTCTATGCACCTTCAATCTTCAATCGCAAACAGCAGGATATAAATGACAATGGTTACATCCGATAAAATAAACTGAAGCAAAAGTTAAAGATTCAAATGAAAGTAAAAATTTTTAGGAGTTAAAGCAAGTCCTTGAATCCAACGTATTTTCATCGACCCAAAAAACTGATTAATCCAAATCATCTCATATTACAATACATCCGTGATTTTTAACACAAATACTCTTTCAGATCAACTCCTTCACCAAATCAGTATATTTATTGTAAAAGCTTGAACAGAGTCGAATTGCAACGCACTGAGCAAGAAACACTAGACGCGGAAAATACTACTAATGAATTTGAATGATTTTTATGAATGCCTAAAATTTGAAGAATGAGACCACTTCTAAGATAAGATTGTTTCCAATATGGATGCAACTGGTAACAAGAGAAAACTGCCAAATACCAAAAAAAAAATTATTAATTTGCTATGAGATGACGAGATACAGCAGAAATTTTAGAAACTAGTGGATATATTCCAGCACTTTCTAACAAGCAAACAAACGATAACAAGCAGATGACAAACGTTGTACTTGAACCTCTGAGACCAATCAGTGATTTTTGCACCTAATATTTCCTTTTCTGAAAAATTTGACTGCGATAAAAAAACTAACCGCCTTAAGCATAACACATAAGCACTACATAGGAATACAAACCATCCTGTAAAATGGCCACATTTATTTACAACTCCAGGCAAAGGGAATTGAAAGCAATTAGCTACAAGTCCTTTTAAAACGAATTAAAATGAATTTGAAATCAAATGGCATCGGATTTAAAATCAAATCTGAAATAAAAAAATGACTGGAAGCAAACAACCGAAGACAGATTTGAATTGATAGGAGGACAAATTTTGGAAGTAAATTTACAAAACGAATAAATTTACAATAAGATTTATCAAAACACAGAATTAAAAAATTTGCTTTTCTTTAAAGCAACTGAGCAAAGCACAGTACTTTATTTCATCACATTCTAAATCATATTAAAAGAATATCACATCATAACTTCTTGCCACAACCAAATTTTTGCTATAACCGCAATATAGCATATTTATGATGTCGTTTTACTTTTGAAACGATTACTCTACCATCGAAGGAAACTGAAGCGAAAACCCACGGATCGTTACCAGCCCATGCACAGCTGTATACCGATTCCTCATGCTCTTCCATCTTCTCAAGACGTTCATCACCCAAAATACTAGAAAAAAAATTTATGATCGATTAATAGGCAGTAAACATTAGAACGAAAAGAAAGTACCGGGTACGAGTAATGTATATAATTCTAGAAATTCTAGTATGACCAAGAAGTTTATATTCTCAAATCCTCCTGGAACTAGGCTGTATAAAAACTTTTTCGAACCTTCCCGGACTCAATACAGCTAAGGAAAAATTACAGATGCAAAAAACTAACATTCAAATTCATTCTGAATTCAGAAAAGTTACTTTTCGGGTGAAGAATAGCTTTCGTCCTGTACCAATGCAAGGGAATGGATAGATTCAGAGCTAAGAGATTCGAGGCTATTGAGAAACAATCTAGCATCACTGCCTGCTGATAACAACAATTGATCATGAATGGGGTTAAACTTGACACACCATACCCTGTAACGCTGGCAAAAACTTCGAAACTCAAAAGCACATTTAGATTTTACTAGTTATCACCATATAGAATCAGCACTCCAGTGTTCCACTTCATGATTCCTACTCTACTCAACGAATTTTTTCAGCATCGAAAAACAGTTCCATATTAGACATTAGCTATTGTTGATGATATAATAGCTGCAAAAAAGCAAAATAACAAGAATGATAGAAACTGGGAAGCTAACGACAACGTATATAAAAAGATAAACACGAGTTAATGTACCGAAATGAGAAACTGAATTCGTAAAAACCAAAAAGCTAATCATTTCAGAAAAGGAACTGATATTGAAATGAAGGCTCACCAATGCGAATGATCTTGTAAAAATTTCAATGGAGTATTCACTTTCCGCATATCCCATAATGCCACCCTGAAATCGTCACCACAAGTTGCTACAATGTGCTGCATATTGGGATTGAAATCCAGATTTCTGACACGAGGTGAATTTACGTGTTCAATACAAAACGCTTCCCTAAATTAATCCAAACTGATCTTTTTATAAAATATTTATCAGAAGACAGAAAGATCTAAAATATGTCAGGAAGACCAGATTTCACTTAAGTCAGTAAAATTCCATTGATTTCTCTGAGGTCAGGTAATCCGAAAAAGAGCCAAATCTGATTTAACGGTAGATTACTCACTGCAAACTACGAATATCAATTCCTTTCACCGATGCATCATAAGCTATTGCTAAGGTGCTTCCGTTTGAGTGGGGACTCCACACTGATGCGCTTATTGGTGCCTTACTGTCGACTGATGTAGAGTTTTCTATCTGAATCATTTAATGAATATTAAATCAGGTAACTTGATCACCGATGTAAAAATTGATCAGTTTCCAAATATAAGTCGTATTTCAGAATTTCAAAGGTCATGAAACACTAATTTTTAATTTATTTTTAGAACGAGAAAAAACTTTAGGGATTATTTAATAGGAAAATCTTAATTTATTCAAAAATGGCCCCCACAATTTAATGATATCGTGTATTGAAATATGAATTTCCAAATGGAATTTCAGATAAAGGTTGCAGGAAATAAAAACCGCAAAACTGGAAATGTGAGAAAATAACTTTTTTTTAGAAATTTTTGACCGCTGGTAAGAATAGTCTCTTTCAAAAGGCCCATGGATAAGCACAAATAGATTAGTCCTTCTCCTAACATAAAAGATAGAATGAACGACCAAATAATTTAGTTGATTAGAAAAAAAATTTTTGAAAAAAGACAAAGCAAGAAAAAAAACCTTCAATGAGTTGCTGACATCAGCCAACAGTACAAAATTATTAACGGCAATGGCCATTTTATTCCCACTTGGATGGAATTCAGCCCTTAAAGTAAATTATTTCATATAGGCCATAATGTTGGAAACAAATACGTGAAATGTTTAAGTGGATATGTTGTGGAAACCGGTAGTGTAAATGATTAAAAGTAGGTTAGAAACTTCAAACAAATTTTTCTACAATTTGAAAATTTCAAAATTTGTGAAAATTTCAGTTGGAATTTGGGTTCAAAAAAAATATAAAATGATATCCAAAAGCGTCTCGATCATGAAGCATTGGGGATTAAACATAATGAATATGACGTGCAACACGAATTCGTTTGCCAAGAAGCTCATACAAGTCTGTCTCGATGTGTAATCATCACAATATTAAAAGATGTTACTATACATTAACAGTTCTGAAGATCTTATTGATCGTGTAATGTCATAGGAAATCTGGTTAAAGATAGTAAATCCATTAAGACCTATCACTGGATTTCTTTCTCTTGCAATAAACACATTCCAACTTACGAAATGCATCTTCCACTTTTCAGAGGGGATTCATATTGTGCAAGATCGATCAAATTCGATTCATCATCATTCAGTTTCCACAAACCAACACCACTTCGTGCTGTGTCATCCCCGAAAAAAAAATTTTTTTGTCGGAAAAATATGAATGAAAACCAGAAATTTTACTAGAAAAGTATGCATACGAAAAAGACAGTCTTACTGGATCAATATATTTTCCAAGAATGTCTAGGGACTGTCAAAAGGCAGTCTTGTCATTTATGAATGTCCTGGGAAGGTTATTTCTATTTTCTTTTTTTTTTGTTTATAAAACCTAGTCGTTATAACTTCTGCAAAAACACTGATAGCTTTTCATAACTGTAACCGCTATTTTGCGATGCCACTTCACTATTGCTTATTTATGCAGCGATGAACAACAGTCTACACTTCTGTTTCTTAATCCATTTCCATCTCCTATCAGTGTTACCATATACAGTTCTAGAGAAACGATGACAATCAGATACTTACAAGCAACATAACATGTGGCAATAATGTTCGGATCAACGGACGAACTTGATATACACCAAATCTCACCAGCAAGATGATTAAATGACCGTTTCGTGATCTGAAGCCAGTCATCATCGACTTCCAGTAAGCAAACCTCAAAAAAAACCACGAGAGATCGATAGTAACATATGGTTAAAAATATTTGCATGAGGAGCTGTGAAAATGAGCAGGGAAACCACTAGAATATCAATAAAAGATATTGTTCGAAATGTTTGGGAAGGAGGTTATTAGACAATTATTTATCTCAGAAAGCCAGAAATAGAACTTTCAAAGACAGCATTAACACTTCTTCTGCTTGAACCTTGAGCGCATGATTTGTTTTCCATCACTTCAAAAATTTCATTTCCTACACGAGTTGAGATTTACCTGATTATCCTGCTTTAACGATAAGGTACCAACAAGAAATAAAGTTCTTTCTTGTTCCGCTGGAAGACCAACAATACTTCGTGCTGGCAAATCGATTCCGTACATCAAAGATAACGGTTCTGTCATTTTCAGCTAAACTTGCACATTATGTTACACAAAAACTAACAGATCAAATCTCAGATAACGTTGGAATTCAGTAAAGCAGAACCTTGGGTGACCTTGCACGGCAAGGTAACAATTAAGAAAAAAACCCCAGTTAAAGTTGATTTTAAAAATCTATTCAAATAAATAAGTGCAAGGCATCGATCCTTGATATCAAAATTGATATAATGAGGAGTAATGATAAAAATGCATTTTTTATTTGGTAGATATAATTCATTTTTAAACGGTTCTAACCCACATCAAATAATACTCAACATTATCTTAATGCAATAATAATTACAAAACTATAAAGTCGATATTGCACCTAAAATTGTAAGATCTGTTCTCACAACTTTATCGATTTTATAGTCTTACAGAGAAAGCCAAACAGAACGCAGTACAAGAAAACCCATCCGTAACACTAACCAATAAATCGGATTCTTAACTCAAATTCCAGCAAAAACAACAGAACGTAACTTTGATCGCAAAGAAAGCGAATACATGAAATGGTGAAATTTACGGTAAACGTTAAATGTCCCCGTAAAGTTGCATATATCGATGAATCTCCTCAAACCGATAATTGATTAATATAAACACGTTGGATTAATAACATAATCTCATGACATAATCTCGTAAGTCATACAGACAGCTCTTGATGGTATCTGTAAAAATACCATAATACATACTGCAGTCTAGTACTATGAGAGAAAAACTTTGGTTCAATATGAAAATTAGTAGAAATGCTCATTAATGTTGCGCAGTAGCATTATGACCATTCGAAACGATGCGCATAAATAAGGCCCATGAGAGCGAAAGCTGCATTAGTCCCAAGTGATGCAACAATTAAGATTGACCACAATCCTCGGTGCACGGTGGCATTCAGTAACGCCCGCAATGAACCTGCAGGAAGAGTAGACAGCATATGTGAATGAATAGCTTCGTGACTCACTCCAGTCCATGAAATACCACCTAAATTAACATTTTTAACGTTGTTAATGCCAAAAAATATATAATTCAAAGACGAATCTTATTCTCGAAAATTTGGCACTTCCAATTTCGAAAAAAACATGAAATTTAAGGACGAATCTATATTTTCCGTTTCATATCGTAATTTTCATTCTTTAAAGATGAACGTAAATTTACACTCAGTACACAAATTTACAGTTTAAAAATTTGCTGTAATACTTACATGTTGTTTTCAATATCAAAGCATAAAGAACGGGTAGAAGAGGTGGCACGAAATAATGCAAAGCAGCAACATTGAAAAAATAAAAATAGCGCTGTATCTAAAAAACGGATAGCAGCAGTCTCCTTTTTTCGCAATAATCCAAGTATTTGCAAGAATTAAAAAAGAAAACAAAGAAACTGGAAATTTGAAAATTGACAGCTTCCTGAAATGAAATCACTTTCTCCATTCCTCTACCAGTGAGTTGAAAATTCAGAAACATCCATCTCACCTTCATTTGCAGTTCTGATGTTTTGATCCAACCACTTTCACGGTGAATTTTAGAAAGAGCAATCAGAGACTGATCCAAAAATGATTGCAGATGAGGACGATATAGGAAAAGGCGTAACAATGCAGTTAGAATAACGATGTATATACGCACGGTATCCATCTGAGATTCATTCAGTCTGAAAATGTTATAGAACCAAATGAAAAAGCTAATGTAAAACTGTGCATGCTAAAAATTTCTATGACACTTCACATTTTATAAATGAATTATAAGTTAGCTGACATAACTAAGGAAACTTCTTTTGTAAATAATAAAAGTTAAGAGGCCTTTAATCTAGACTTAAATGCTAATTGTTAAGGCTCAGAATGACTTGACATTTCGAAAAAAATCTGCATTTTCACATAATTGAGATGTATAAATGAGGAATTTAAGCAAATACAAATACAACTCACAACCGTTTAGGTCCATAAACCAGGTAGTTCTTTGCAGGGTGAGAGTATAAAAACAATGCCAAAAATTGTGACATAAAAGTAAGGTGATACAACATCCTGAAATAATTATTTAATCATTAGTTTGATGTAGACAATAAAAATTCGTTGAGATAATGGATGGATATCTTATGAAAAAAAATTGACTGAAGAATAAATGCAGTAGCCAAGAAGTTGCGACGACTGGAATGTTAAGGGTAGTATTTTTCCCGTCTTTACATACTTTTTCCATTCTAAACTCACAAAGTTATGGAAAAATAACAAAAATCGCGAGTACTTCGTTAGACCAAGAGACCGATACTGTATAACTTCAAGATATTGATGAAAATTTTCTCTCTACATAGAGCAATGAAGACAGTAACAAAAACTAATTATTAAAAAAAGCTGATGTAACACAGTTCACCGAAATCTAGTCACTCCAGCTATAGTCAACTTTCAGTTCTGAAGCAGTGGTCGAAAAGCACAAATATCAGTGTGTGCGTGGAAAATGTAGCTAATGATATCAAAGAATTCCCAGAGAAACTGAAAAACACTTGTACGGTCACGAAAATGTTTACTACTTACAGAATATTATAAAAATATTTCGACGTGATTTTCAGGAATGTTTACCTATCAAGCGGTCTTTCAGCACCTTTAACGACATCGGAATACATACGCGCATACCTAAAACCGGGAAAAACAAGCAGAGCAGCAAAAAATGCCAGCATGACAGCCAAAGAGATAAAAAAGAGAAGTGGCGAATGTTGAGACATATAGTCTGGAACTCGACTCTCCGCCATAAATTTTGCCGTTGCATTCTTCAGTGAATCGAATGCTGGAACCAATCATTTTGCAAGTAACAGAAAAGTATTTGAAAGATTATTGAAAACACTACTGCAATTTTAGAAATAACCATTACTGCAATTTCCGATTCTAGCTTGACCGAGGAACCTTTTCATTATTTCACGCATGGAAGCTGAATGAATCACCTTCGTTCAAGGGCATATCAAAGAGACGTTCAGCGAACATGATTAATATTAATGAGAACAAGAAAAATAAAGACGCTATTGAAATGACCAAATTTCTTTCTCCAATGGCAACGTTACTTGTAAAGTATGTAGCTGCTACTAAAGTCAGTGCCTAAAAATTTAAAAACGTAAGACATTTTTCGAAATTATTCCTAATGAATTCAGATAATTTCATTTATTGAATGAGTCCTTTTTGGCAGACCGCTGCAGTTTGAAAGCTTACCTTTTATGGTAATACAACAAATCACAAAATTGGAAACATCAAGTATTCCGAAATAACTTAAAAATACTACCATATCATATTTTTTTTAAAAATATTGCCATACCACATTTTTAACAATTTATGAATGGAAAGAAAATGACCAATACCTGAAGTAGGAAGAATACCGAGAGGAGTAACCATATAATGGAAATATTAAAATCCGTATTGTTGGGGAAGATAAGGCATATGAATTCGCTTGTGATATAAGATACCTGCAAGTCTACCGAATTTAATGCAAGCGAAAATATAGAAGCATAACAAAACTGTAGTGATAGTAAAGGAGTCTTAAATTATGCTTGTGCATATATACTGTTATCCATTACCCATAGATCCTATTTCCGTTGTTTTCTGCATGTAATTCCATCTCAGTAAACATCAACGGATTCAGTAGAAAACTTTTGTGATAGACAGAAACTCCATTATTAAGCAACACTGTTGAATATATAAAAAATCATTTGCCGAATTTTTATATAAACTGTGAAAATTTTTTACTATTTAACTGTTTCTGTTAACAGTACTGTCCAATAATTTTTTATATTTTAATATTAAATTCTAAATAAATGAGTTTCTCTATGCATTTATTTATTTGTAATGGCAAGCAAAGAAACAGCCCTGCGTTGAAAAACTGTCGTTAAGAAATAAGAGTTATTTCAACATTTACATCAGTTAACAGTTCCAGTAAAATGAAATTGAGCTTGCTTAAGACAAATATCTCATTATATATCCTTTCTGTTAAGTCATAGCGTAATAAGTTTCAAAAAAGTGCATTCATGATAAATTAAAGTTGAGACACTGTAACATCAAGTTACCAAAGTAAAGCCGAGAAATTCTGCAGACCACATAAATGTTTCGTAAAATTGCAAACGTTGTAGATCAGCGATATCCACCGGAACTGACATCAAGTCCAATTCCACCTTTTTTGGCACGAGAGCATCAGATTCTTCATCACTACATAAACAAAGAATGCATCAGGAGGTTGGTTAGATCTTAGGAATTAAATTAAATTCAATAGTGAATTAAGATCATTTTGTTATCAATGAAATAAACATACCGTGGATGTTTACGCTTCCGATTTTTCATTGGACGTGTAAAATGGGAGTGGGATGCTTGTTTTAAAGCAGCATTTGATGGTGGTAAATAACGCTGCAGCCTGAAGAGTTGAAAATTTTTGGAAAGTACTATCAAAAAATAAAGTACAAAGAGGCGAGGAGAACTAATGTGAAAATAAACAAGAACAGATTGAAATATTTCTTCCAATCACTAAGAACTTTATAATTTCAGGTGAAAAATAAAAGATACTTAAAAGATAAGTCCTGAAAGTAATATGAACTGCACTGCAGAAGCAAAAACTGTTGAGACAAATAAGTAGGTTAATGTCTCTTGAACAGCCATATAACTTGCATAGTTTGAATAACAGCTCGAAACAATATTGCATTATACTTAGTCGGCGCTAAAAAACTCAACGCTTCAAACAAAAGAAACTTGTAGTTGCAGAAAAAACTTAGAACTAACCCGTTACAGAGGATAATCTCGACCAGTGAAAATCTCTTGCGAATTTTGGTCAGGAAAAAGAAAAGAAACAGTGAAGCAAGTATATGATGACCTAATACAGCCTAAAATAGAAAATGCATAAAGTTTTAACAACTTCATAAAATTTATGCAGACTAGTGAAGCATACTTTCGTGATATTTTCCAACGTTGCAAAACTTATAAGATGGATTTCGAAGCATCCAATTCCTTCTCATCCATTACAGATTTCCAAATCTGAACTTTCTTTTCCTAGATTTAAATCCTTTATCTGGACGCATGAAAAATAATAAAGGTTGAGGAAAGTAGCTCATTTCTCTTAATGTGTTAGTTCCAAAAAAGGGAAGCTCAAATCATTATATTACCATTTCACTCGTTTCGTCCAACCTTCAGAATTGTTAATTTTTGCAACCGAAACAATCTGAAAACACTTCAGGATTCGAGCATGTAAACGAAAATATTATCCATTTCCCAAATGTCGTGCTCATAATTTCGGATTACAAAAGTCCTGCAAGTAAAAAAGGTTCACTTAAGAGAAAGAGGAAGCAAGTAGAGGAAAGTTTATCAAAGTTACAAACTTGCACCTCCACGAATAACAAATGCCAACTGGATCAAATGATATGCGTAAAATCCAAGCCGTGACTTGAATGGAAAATGATTTCACGTGAAAGTGGAAGCGTGACTAAAATGGAAAATGGTTTCACGTGAAAACGGAAACAACCACGTTAAAACATAATGAGCAGATGTATCTACTGAAAGATCGTTCCAGTTGTTACGAAGTGCCTCTATTGATACAAAGAGCGAAACGACAGACAAATAGGTAGAGGAAAAAGAGAGAAGGTTAGATGAACAGATAAGAGAAGAGTTCAAATTAAGGATATTGTTGAGAGGGATGTACCTATACTATCTATCCCTTTTTTTTTTCGCAACAAATGGGTACGTTGGAAGTGTTTGAGCGTAATTTTGTTATGGTTGACGTGTTAACATGACTGACGTATGAGACGTGTTCACATGGCTAAACCATAAGACGTGTGACGAACGTTTACGTAAGACGTGAAAGACAACGAATCCATTCTTTGCGTTCTTTTAGCATCGAACAAAACTTTTGATAACGCTCTACAACATTTGATGGTTAACAGGAGCAAATTATCGTTAGCAGGTGATGTTAGCCGAACTAAGGCTGAAGAAAGAGCGAGTACATGAGGAAGCGAAGTATGTATATAATATACCTCTTATCATTCTTATCATTTTTTCCTTCTCACACTTTTCGTTTCGTTCTTCGTATTTGTCACCACTGCTGATGACTTTCATTTTATTGGAAGAAGTTAGGAATGTTTTATTAAAAATGTTTCCTCCATGACACGTTTTATTCACATGTTCACCTTACATAAATGTAGTATTGATTATGAAGTTGGATGACGTGAATTCCACATCATTTTAAATAGAGGATATGCAATTCATGTTCAATTCATTCATTATTACTGAAATAATCTTTACATTCTTCTCAAGGATACTCTTAACTCTCTTTTGTATCACTACATAACGTGTAATTCATTTACTTTCTCAACGATAATGTTGCTAAATGACATCACATTATCTCTGCTTACAGCTTAGCGTATAAAGATTTGATAGATTTAGTTAGAATGACCAAAGTTGATCTAAGTTTAATTACCTCTGAATCAGTATAAAAAATAGATAAAACAATGTGTTTTAGACTCGCTACAATTTCACTATTATTTTTTCTTGATAAGTCCTATAAATTATCGGTAATTCTACGTATAATTTACACATCTCATATTGGATTGCCTAGTACGTATCGCACTTATCAGTCCAACTTTCGGTAGAATTTTAGTTGGAATTATTATTTGTTTGCATACTATGTTATATGCCCAATATACATATATCATTTAGTTAGACATGATACAGGTGAATACTAATTTTAAGCAAAGAAACATCTCGTTAAAAGAATTAAAAAAAAAAAGAAAAAAACGAGCATGGTAGAGATTTTGCTTTGAATATACAAATTATTGATTTTTTTTTCTATCTCTCACAATTTTTTTGGAATTTTTAGAAATTGTTTATTCAGGAGGTTATTTGCCGATTGGAAACCCGCAGTGAGCAAAATGTTGGAGACTTATCTTACATTGGATCCAAGCTTTTCGGTTGCTGAAAATTATGCTTTGTTTGATTCAAATCTCCCGATTTATCTTTTAGGCGAGAAATTTACATCGAGAAGAGGTTAGATTAATTTCTGTTTGTTTTAATCAGCGCAGATATTGTTACCGTATTATGTGATGCCATTTTTGTTCTATAATATTAAGGAAAAGTAGAATTCTTTTCAAATAAGATCAGTATTTGAGGTGCACACCAATTTCAGTTGTATTGCGAGTATCTTTAGGGATTAGAGAGGTAATAAACTATCGTTAAATTGAGATTATTTTTTCTTCGAAAAGCTATCTTCGTCCATCATTTTTTTGCTATTATCATTTCATAAAAAAAGCTGTTGAAATAAATTCTGCGTATTTAGTTTTGAGCTAACACTAATAATGATATGTTTTCTTTTTTTGCTTCTAGCATATTTATTTTCTGATTATAGATATGGAACGCATCAAAGACATTATGGCATCGCTGTTATGGTTCACATATCGAAAAAACTTTCAACCCATTGGTAAGTTATTAATATTCAAGTTTGACAATATCCGATTTCTTTAAAAACTGGATAAATTAGGAAATATCTGAATGATCAGATAGATAACACCTCGGTTTATGACAAGTCCAATAAAATTGGTATCTGTTGTTCTTTACTTGGTTATTATGGTTGGTCTTTCACTTCATTTTTGCATGCCAATACTATGGCCTTCGTCAGTGTTTGGACTTCGTCCACCTTATTAATTGCCAATTTAATTTTGTTATAGGTGGCATTGGGCCAACGACTGATCAAGGTTGGGGATGTATGCTGCGGTGTGGTCAAATGTTGTTGGCTCGAGTTTTAATAGTGCGACATCTGGGTCGTAATTGGCTTTGGGACCGAGATATCAAGTTGGCTGAATACAAACGCATCCTGCGTATGTTTCAGGATAAGAAAAACAGCCTTTTCTCAATACATCAGATAGGTAAAATTGAGCAATTTGTTTTAGTATTTTATTTATTACCTTTAACCATTCTTAGTAGCTTATAAAGTGATTGCTACATTTAAGAGTTAAGTTAAAATTCAATTGAAATTCCGGACACCGTATTTCTTGAAAATTGGCGTCGAAATTCCTTGTGTTCTAAGTTTTTCCGCGAATTGAAACTCATTCTAAAATCAGTCTTGGATTTAGACGGGATTTAGATTTGGAATTGACTTGATGTAAAGCAGTGTCGAAGGTGCATGAATTATTTTGTAGTTTCGATTATGGTATACTCTTGTGGTTGAAAAAGTAATATTCAGTATTTAAAATTAGAATGATTCTGTTCAGTGTTTCGACATTTCTATATCAAATTATTTCATTTTCAGCACATATGGGAGTATCCGAAGGCAAGAACATTGGCGAATGGTTTGGTCCGAACACGACGGCTCAAGTTTTGAAAAAATTGGTCATATATGATCAGTGGTCACGACTAGCGGTACATGTAGCTCTTGATAATGTGCTGATAACGAGCGATATACGCACTATGGCTTTTACTAGACCTCCTTACCGAAAGTCTGGGTAGTTGTTTTAATCTTAATCTATTTTATAATCAAGCATTCTGATTCATTTTTTAAAATTTCATTTATATGAGATTTTTAAACCTTGCTTTGCATCATTTAATTTCCAAAATAAAAAATTATCACAAATTGAACGGTTGAGACATTACCCTTATAGCGTAAGAGCTGTTACACTATTAATTTTGGTATTATTCATCAGTTAGGTGGCTGAAAATTTGATTCATTGTAGATCTCGGCGTGAAACAGGAAGTGATTATAATGACAATCATGATGCTGTTAATCCTGCTGGTAAATGCTTGTTTCATTTTTGTCTTTCGTGTTGAAAAGGAATATTTGGAACTGAAGCTTTCATGCGGTTAACTATAATTACTAATAGTTCGACCAAAGATCAAAATCTTACAGAAGCGGAAATATTTCCGGAATCAACTCGATCTCCAACACGAAGTGAAACCTCTTCGATAAGCAGTTACGGTGGTAATAGTGAAGAGTGGCGACCATTGTTAATCATCATTCCACTTAGGCTTGGCTTAAGTACAATCAACCGTTGTTACTTCCCTGCCATTCAGGTTTTATTTTTCTGTTCATTTAGTTTAACCTCGGAAGTACGAAAAACCTTTGAATCGATAAATTATACCAGGGCAACTTACAAAACATTTTCTATTTGCTAAGAAGTAGACATATTTTTGAGGCTAAACCAAGAAAGATAATGATATTTACAAACCAATATTATATCAGTATCCATATTTTAGAATATGTGTTAAAAGTAAAGCCAACGAAAAGGATAACCAACACTTCTTCAAATTTCTGTGAAACGGAAAAATTAATTCATCTGTCTCTGAAAGGATGAAATGTCCTACCTCTTCGGCTCTATATCAAGAAAAGATATGATTTAAGAGCTGTTTCAAAGCTGTAATGTCCATTACAAAGACCTACAGCTAAATAGGATGTTTTGTGCATGACAGTATATACTAATTGAGAGATACAAGTGGAGAGATAAAGATAAAAAAGATACAGGTGAAAAATTGAAAACAAAGTGAATAGTAACTTTCATCTTTTTCCAGGCATTTTTTCAATTACCACAATGTGTTGGTATCATTGGCGGTCGACCCAATCATGCGCTTTACTTTTGTGGTATTGTAGATAATAACGTATGTTACAACTTTTGGTACAATTATTTATTTGTTGTGAAATCAGTGGATGTTTCTCTGAGCAAAGCATTTATGAAATAGATGAAGGCAGTTTTATCACCTTTAGCCGAACTTTTAAATCGGAGAATGGAACGATACTAACAAAAAAAATTAATAGAAAAATGGAGCGAAAAAAAAGTTCGCATAACCTATGGTGTCAGTTTCAAAAGTCTTAAAATTTCATGATAACACTTCCAAAATGACGCTATCTTTTTAGTTACTTTATCTGGACCCTCATTTCTGCCAGGATTTCGTGGATTTAGATGAAACTACGGCAACAAGAGATGAACGTGATGGTTATGTCGAGGTAGGACATTTTGCAAGGTTGAAGTCTTCATCATCCTACATAACTTTCTAATCCTCATGATATCCCATAATTTTTCCCCACTTATCTGTTCATTTTTTACTCATGTGTTTCATATATTTATTCTTCTCATTGCAGATTAAAAATGATGAATTCAGAGACAGCACCTATCACTGTCCGTTCATCCTGACTACGAAAATTGATAAGGTGGATCCATCACTAGCACTTGGTTTTCTCTGTCATACCGAAGACGATTACAACGAGCTTGCACAACGATTACGAACAGTACTGTTTACTACTATAAACAAATCTATCTGGTTTAATCATTATCAAGAGAGTCAGTCATTCTCACGATATATTTTAGCTTAATCTCGGATTCATCCTTCTTTTCATTGATTTTTATCAGTTTATTACTGTTTCAGCATTTGCTACCGGCTTCAACACCACCTCTATTCGAAATGCTTGAAACAAGGCCGAAAAATTTTCCGCCATTTGTACCTTATGTTGGAGAAAATACCAAACTACGAGGTAAATTGTTTAAATTGGCTATTCCTTACTGAAATCAGCTGGTAATGATCTCAAATTCAGAACATTCAGCGTGTGACCAATACTATGCAAAGGTATGGAATATGACAGGGGAATCTGTTGCCAAGTACAAAGAATACGTAACTACGAAGAGTACATTATTATTAAGAGTACTTAACAATAACAACTTATTATTAATTTTGGTTTAGTCATCATCATGTGCTTGTGTGTAGCCGACAGACTGCATATACAATGATTTAATTCGATGTGCTAAAGGTTATTTCATAGTCAAATATTCCGCAGTGTGGACAAGAGGATAATCCCAAAAAAAAAAAAAAATGGAAGCGTCATTAAATTAAATAAATGAAAAATTTGCTGAATCCATCTCTTGAAATTTGTTTTCCAGACTTTATGGATCTCGGTGAAGTGAACGACAGTTACGATGAATTTGAACTGCTTGAATAGGAAGAGAAGAGAGTCGGAGGAGAACTCCCCGGAACTTCCTTTATTGTCTCTTTGAGCAGTTTTCTCATATCATTTCTTTCAGTAAAGTATGACAAGAGAAATCGATTTTTGAATTTCTGGGAGGATCAGTAGATGAGATTTAACATCGAAGGAAAAGTCGGAGATTTTCGCTGAAACCTCATATATAGAAGTTTGGACTTCAACCGTTAGAGTTGATGTGCTGGATGCTTAATACTATATATAACTTTTCAGTCGTTCTAAACTTTTTTCGTGGTTCCTTTCATCCATGCTTTCACATTGCGGACGGTGTTGTGTTTTTACGAATCATTTGCCAGTTTTTTTTCATTATTTTGCTTTTCATGATGGCTTAAGAGCTAAAATTAGTGATTGGTGCATGTTTACATGTTACATGGAATATAGAATATTTGGTTCAGTTTCGGTGAAATATTCCTTATATGTAGAGGTTGGATAGGATATGTGGTTTTTCAAAGGCCAAGATTTTTAATTTTCAACGGATTTGAGATTTACAATGTTTTTCCCAACTTCAAATTCATTGCTTTGAATTTTCGCTAACATCCAGCCCTATTTATTTACTGGACTAACACAGTAAGTAAATACTGTTAAAATATGATGTATTTGCTTTAAGTTCACTACGATCGTACTTAACGAAATTATGGGAGTTATGTTGAGTAATAAGTATTAACAGATTAGTTTGAATCCTAGACTGATATTTCCTTGTTATTGGACTGTTAGCTTTTTCAGAGCAATCATTAAGCTAGACTAAATTCTCTATATGTTTAGACTTTCCGAATTGGATGTTTTAGGATTTATGTGTAAGCAAAAATTGCCATGCTTTCGATTTTTTTTTATATACAGAAACAAATGAAGTATGAACTCAATGCTGTTATTCAAACGTTCATTAAGTGCGCTATGAGATTGAGAGCTAAAGTTGAGGGAGTCAAAATCGAGAGATAAGGTAGGATCGAGACCTTTATGAGGTAAGATTGTAAACTGTAAAGGTATGCATTGTGGGCATCGTTGGATAGTCATTATAAAACTCAGTGTATTTGCAAGTAACTGGTCAGTCGACTTTCAACTTGCTCGTTTCCGTGTCCATCTGATATTTACGTATAAAAGTGCAATAAATGCCTCATGGATCATTTCAGCATATCTCAGATCGTACACCGGTGTTGGTGATTAGCTCCAGAAATCCGGAAACGCTGCTAAATACTTACTAGGTCTTAAGCCGAATCATTGCATACGATAAACTGATTACTTCGGCCGTCTGGGCATGTGTTATCTTGATGTCACTCACCATTTTGTATTCGGGAGCGTTACTCCTAGTTTTGGAATCTGATTTACCTGGGGATTTTCTCAAAGGTTTTCAAAGACATCCCAAAGCATCCCCGTGTTTCTCACGTGTTTGTTCCTCTCAAATGCATCTCACGAATTTTCTCCAGTTCCAGACTTGTATCCTTACAAATGCGTTATATATAGATTGTGCTCTTTTTAATAGTGCTCTACTCACCAGTATCATACTTTTTAGTACATTTCCTGTCCATCAATGACTTTCCTTCCTTACTGTCATTTCTTCGACCATTATGTTGCGTTTTCTCTCACATACATGATGCAATTCTTAATTTTTTCAAAAGTAGGATTTTGGCTTTGATCCTTTTATTACTAATTTTTTCTGATTGGTAACAATTCACTAAAGTGTTAAAATGTGTTCCACTGGATTTGAACGTTCGACAAGAAATTAGAAAATTTGTCTTTATTACTAATTCCAGCATCGTGAATTTGTTCTTTTTTTCTCGCTTCATCTTTGTCTCAACATTTCAAACTTCTCAAAAACATTGGTGATGAGGTGTTTACTGCTTTACCAATAACTGTATATGAATGCTTGCATAAAATTACTTTTGCGAAAGAATAGACTGGTTGAAAAATTCGATTTTTTAAGAATTTTACTTCTCGAATTCGCCTGTTAGTTGTATTGTTTAATAAGACTAGGAAGATAATGGCGAAACGAATATAGAAATCGAAAAACCATTTGACATTTTTTTTCATTAAAAATTAATATCTGTCATGATTTAAGGAATAACTGTTGGAAAAAATGTGATTTTATTTTTTGGTTTTAGAATTACCCTGTCCTTCAAAACCATTTTTCGATTTTCAGGATTCACTGAGCAAATTCTAAAATGACGTTACCTGTATATTACATTAACGTTATTTTGTGAAAAATTAGATTTTACCATATTTGACTTTATTTTCAGTGTTGTTAAGATCTTTTTTGGCTACAATCGTTTCATCAACAGGAGAAAAGTGTGAGGAAGTGGCTTACTCCACTGCTACTAAGTGTTGGAAGAATTCCATATTTTACATTGCTGAATCAGAATGATTTCTTAAAAAAAATGGAAAATGGTATACTTATAATGGATTTCACTAACACTGCTTTTGCTCTTAAATTTTCATCCCACATGAAATTCAACTTTTTTAGTTCAGATTTGAAATTGATGGTATGGGGAATCTTCGGAAATTTCGATAGGTTCTCTTTAAATATTAAGTTTCAAGCTTTCAAATCTTACGACCACAGGGTATTCCATACTCTATTGTTTTAATAATGATTACACCCTATTATCAAGATAACCGTCTTCCCATGACGACTATCAGTATTGTTGAAAAATATTTACGATGCAAGACACAATGCAATTTATTGCTAGTTCAATCCAACAATGGAACTAATTTGGACTATTTAACGTTTACTGTTATCTCAGCTCCTCTTAAAAGATTTAGAAAACTGTTTCCTTGCATGCCGAGTTACGTAGATTCTGATAAGTCTGTTGAATTTCATGGTGTAAAATTTATTGACATTTCTTTCGGTTATTTAAAAAAGTTTTTTCCCCAATTTTTCTTTTTTTTTGAATTGTTGGCCAGAGTCGTTTCACTAAGCGACAATGATGAATACATTCTTAGTGCAGCAATTTTGGGGAGAGAGTTGTCCGATGTTCCTCCTGTCGATGATTTTGTGATTTCATTTTCTTTCTTCGCAAATGACTGATTAAGGGAGGACATCTGAGGTACAGCTATGACTTCTTCACCAGCTGCTGCTGCTTCTTCGAATTTGGACGATATCACTGCATCGCTTTTCTATCAGTTACGCGATAAAAACCGTGTAAGAACCTCTCT